TCTGACAAGTTTGTGCGTGTCATGAAGGCCAAGGTTCGCGCCGGAGGAGTACAGGACTTACAGCTAGGCGCCGATGGTGCCTTGGAGTTCAGAGGCAGGATCGTGATCCCGAAGGCCGAGGCATTGCGGAAGGAGATTTTATCAGAGGCATATACCGCACCTTACTTGGCTCACCCCGGGAGCACGAAGATGTACCACGACCTGAAAGGGTCATTTGGGTAGGAGAGGCATGAAGAAAGACGTCGCAGAGTTCGTTAGGCGATGTCTTACCTGTCAACAAGTCAAGGCCGAACATCAGAGTCCGATTGGCCTCCTACAACCACTGCCGATTCCGCGGTGGAAGTGGGAGGAAGATACTATGGATTTCGTTACGGGATTGCTGAGGTCGGCTGAACATCACGACGCTATCTGAGTCGTGGTCGACAGACTGACGAAGGTGGCGCACTTTTTACCCATTTCGATGAGGATGTCTCTGGACAAGTTGGCTGAGATAAACACCCGTGGGATCATTAGACTCCACGGAGTAACCGTCACGATTATATCAGATCGAGATCCCAGATTCGTTAGTCGATTCTGGCACAGCTTACATGAGGCGATGGGCACCAAGCTTGAGTTCAGTCCAGCCTACCATCCGGAGACGGACGGTCAGTCAGAGCGGACGATTTAGACACTAGCAGATATGCTTCGCGCCTTGGTTGTTGACAGGGGTGCCAAGTGGGAGTCGCTGTTGCCGTACGCAAAGTTCGCGTATAACAACAGTTATCATTCTTCTATTCACATGGCTCCTTACGAGGAACTTTACGGTCGCAATTGTCGTTCCCCTCCTTATTGGGACGACGTTGGAAAGCGACGAGTACTCGGTTTTAAGATGATCGAGGAGACAGCAGAGCAAGTCGAGTTGATCCGGCAGAGACTTAAGACAGCCCAGAGTCGACATAAATCTTTCGCCGATCATCATCGACGAGATATTCAGTTTAAGGTTGGCAAGCACGCCTTTCTCAGAGTTCGTCCGGTTCGCGGAATAGTGCGATTCGGCAAGAGAGGGAGACTACACCCTCGTTTCATAGGTCCGTTCGAG